CTTTGAGTCAAATGAAAATGAAAACGTAACATAACAAAATCTTTGGGGAAAAGCAAAAGCAGTGCTGAGAGAACATTTTATAGGAAGAAATGCACACATCAAAAAAGGAAAAGAACCACATGATGATACCAATTGATATAGAAGAGGCATTTGACAAAATCCAACACCCTTCTTGATAAACACACTCAGTGAAACATAAATAGAAGGGAAATTCCTCAACATAATTAAAGGCATATACACAATACCAATGGCTAATATTATTTCCAGTGGACAGAAACTGACAACATTTCCCTTGTAAATGGGAACCATGTAAGGATCTTCTTTATCACCACTCATATTCAATAATGTATTGGAAGTACTTTAAAAAAAAAAAAAAAAGCATCCAAATTGACAAATAAAAAGTAAAACTCTATCAATTTGCAGATGTTATGATCATATACATAGAAAATCCCAGTGACTCAACCAGAAAACTACTGGAATTAATAGAGGAATTCAGCAAAGTAGCAGGGTCCAAGTACAATTGTACAGAACCAGTTGGATTCCTCTATACTAATTAAAAGAACTCTGGAAAGGAAATCAGGAAAACAATACCATTTACAAGAGCTACCCAAAAGATGAAGTACTTAGGAATATATCTAACAAGAGACACAAAAGACCTATGTGAAGAAAACTATAAAATACTACTATAAGAAATCAAAAGAGACTTACATAAATGGAAGAAAATATAATTTCATGGATAAAAAGACTGAACATTGTGAAAATGTCAATACTACCCAAAGCAATCTACAGATATAATACAATCCTGATCCATCAATATTTTCTAAAGAAATGGAAAAAGTAGTCACCAACTTTATATGGAAAGGAAAAACAACTATGGTAAGTAAAGCACTACTAGATTAAATAACAAAATAGGGTTCTGTGATAGTTGAAGATGTGTCAACTTGGCTGGACTTCACTTGTGAGTGGTCGTTCCCATGATGGATCACATGACTGCGTCCTAAGCGGCGGTCAGTCTAGGGGGAGTTTCCCCAGGGGTGTGGCCTACCTGTAACACTATCCCAGGAACAAACTGGAAAAACGGCATTCCAGATATATGCTTCCTGGAGC